CACCACCTTGGCCTTGGGCGGCGTTGCTCCAGTTGACATCTGAGTTGGGATGCTCAAAAATCCCAACATCAGCTGCGTGATCGGGGTTTATAATTCTATTACCTGTGCCACTATATCTGTTGCTGGTGTCTTCTTCTTCCATTGCTGGCTGGAAGAAGAACAGGTACACAAACAAGATAAATTTTAATCATAATTCTATTTAAATTTTAAAAGATCAGAAACGATATTCGGATAACAAAAATCCTACAAAGCAGGAATCAGATTCAACAAGGACTAACAGAAGTCTTATGACTTGGACTAACAAATTCATGGACAAACCAATCATTCAAAAATAAAAAATAAAAACCATGAGTAACTGAGCGGAAATCTTCCAAATTTGAAGAATTATCAAACCGAGACAAAATTTTACTTACAATTTAATTAATTAACAAGAATAAAATTGACATCTTCAAGCAATTTTTTTACAAAATCTTGTTCTCTCACCTTCTCTTTTGGATGATCTGCTTCTAAATACCCAACACTAAATTTATTCAATGAAGACCCAAGACCTAAATTTGTTCATTGTACACCAAGCCCCTAAGTTGATAAGGTGGAACCCATAATAAAGCAGAAATTTTTTAAAAAAAAATTAAAGAAAAATTAAGAAAAATTGGAAAGGCTTACCAACTGTGTGTTCTGGGTCTGTAGTTTCGATTCAAAGAAGTCAATTACAACTCAGCCAAACAAAACAGGCCTAAACTTCGAACCACGTATGTAATCTGAAAGAATCTACTCAAAACAGGCTGATGTTAGTATTGTTCTCTCACCCTCTCTTTAGATGCTGTGCTTCTAAATCCCCAAACCCTAAACAATTTCAGTGGCCACCGAAGCCCTAAATTTGTAAGAAGTACACCGAAACCTTAAGTTTACAGTGGAAGCAATTATAAAATATAGAATAATGAAATAAGAAGGGTATAAGGCTTTAGAGTTGGATACAAGAGTTGGCTAGCTTCAGCTTTCCTTGATTGAATATATATGGGCTGCTATGTCGGCAGCTTGATTTGGAAAAGTTGGTTTGACTTTTCCAAAGTTGTTTTTAGCCATAGTTTTTCTAATTTTTCTAGATTTCTCTAGTTAGTACATGGATATTTTTAGTGGCTTGCAAAAGTCTTGAAAGATAAAAGCGTGTTCAAGTGGTAGGCAACGGCCCATCACAATCATTGCCGGCAATTCTTCTCAGAAGATTATAATCTTCCATATTAAGAAAAGATAAGGGAGATTTATTATTATATCCAATACAGGGGCCTAAATTATAAAAACATCTTATATGAAATGGACTTCAGAAATGCATCCAAAATTCATTCACAACATAACAATAGCTGGGGTCACATGCTTCACCAAAAAAAATTGGACAGAAATGTTTACTCAATGGTTAGAGTTGAACATAACAATAGCTGGGGTCACATGCTTCACCAAAAATAATTGGACAGAAATGTTTACTCAATGGTTAGAGTTGTTAGGTTAGACTGGTGGTTAGCTTAGCTGTCAGTTGTTTGCACAGTTACTTACTCATTAAGCAAAGAGACTGAGTATATATATATATATATATACAGTTAGTCAGAAATATATACTAAAACATCATTCAGCTTCTCCTCTATTCTTTAGAAACTTCTATCAAACTCTCTTCTTTCTCTGTCTTCATTACCATGGTTAGCAAGAAACACCCCTGAAACAAAAAAAACACCAACGGCTGAGCAAATTTTGTTATTCATACTTTAGTAGATGGGTATTTTAGTAAATACAGAATATAATAAAAACCAAAACTAAACAGCAACCCACAAAAGTCGGCCTTATTATCGTAAGAAATGAGATAAAATAAAAATAAAAAAGCAACCTAAAAAACTTGGCCTCATCTTGTAAAAGAAGCAGTTCCTTTCAGTTTTCACCCACTTTTCTTCGCACCCCATTAACGTGACTCAATGAAACATGAGTTGCTTTACGTTGCTCCATTAGAAATTTCTTGTCCGAGAAAGAGAGAAATGGTCGACGTAGAAGAAAGAAATAGCAAAGTGGTACCTCCTCAACTATCCTCCTAGCGAAAGCCAATTTGTTGCCAAAGGTCTCACCTTTGACCCCAAAGCGTCACTCTTTTTTCTCATTTCTTTCGCTTTATTTTTTTCTCCTAATTTTGTTTCACTCTTTTTGAAGGCGGTACCGAACAAGGACATATTGTACGAGGAGGCTGGATCAGAGGCATTCCCACTGTATAAAAAATACAAATTTATAAAAAATCCCAATTACGCTTCTTTTATTTTTTGAAATAGAAACAAGGTTTGCATCTTTTGGTTTTAGACGTAGCTTATTTAGTTAAATATATGGCTACTGGTGGAATGGATTTAGCCAAATATTCCTAGAATTGTTGTAAACAGTCAGTTAAAGTGGAGGATTGTTGTATGAAATTTGGTAAATTAGCTTCCCAATTTCTTAGTTTCCATTCAATTTGGTATTTGTTTTTGTGTGATATATTTCTCTTAGGGTGTTTCAAATTTAATGATAAAGCTGCAAGTAAACCCTCCATTACACGACACAATGCTATTGTTTTGATTTAGTATTTTAGTATTCTTCATGTTAAGTTTTTCAGTTGTCTTGGGCTCCGATTTCCTTTTCTTTTAATAAAAAAATTGCTTTAGGAGGCTTTGATGTACAAGCAGACCTATGCAATCATGCTGTGATGTAATGAGATTGGCTTTAAAAATAAAGACATGCAATTAACTGTTGTATCTGTATCAGAAAATATGTTACCCTGAATATTTATTCTTTAGTAAATAATTTTTTTTGGGGTATTATTATGGTTTTTTCTTTAATCACAGTGGTTACTATTCTCAACAGAGGTACTATCCTTGGAGGTCATTCCAGAATAAGAAGATAAAGCCCAATGTGGGAGCAAATATCTTGGCGCTCCAATTGCAAGGCACCATGTGGACAAGTAGAATATCTCTTAGGTCAATAATCGGGCCCATTTATTTGGGGGATTATTTAGGCCAAATTGGGATAATTATCATCAATTAGGGATTTGATTCTAATTGAAATCCCTAATTTACTCAATCTCTCCATTTAAGGGAAAGAATATTTTCCTTCCAAATAGGAAAGTATTCTTTGCAAAACCCTAGCACACAAGGAGCCCATAAATACATGGCTAAACCAAGCATATTTAAGGTAATTCTAAAACCATAGCCAAAGCTCAATTTCTCTCACACCACTCTTGGCTTTCTCTCCCTCACGGCTTCGGCCACCCTCACACACGGCTCCAACCACCCGGCTCTCCTCGTGAAAGAAGACCTTCATCCACTTTAGCTATTGTCATATCTTTATCAATATCCAATCGAAACTTATGTATCGGAAGGCTTTTGGCCAACACCCCTAAGGTGTGGTCTATTTACTTCGGTATTTTTCACAAGGATCAAGGAAGAGAGAGAAGGAAGCTCAAAAGGCATAGAATTTACACCTGAATATTCCCCGTGTAGAAATTTGCACAAGAAGTTGAATATGAGCAAGTCCACATTTAGAGTCTCATCTAGCCGATTTTTGGGATACTTAGTCACCCAAAGAGGTATCGAGGCTGATTGGACCCGCCCCAAATTTCCTCTGAAATCGGGACGGATCCCGTCTATGATCCGACATCCTACAGATGCCGGGCCCACTTACAATTTTGGCAGAGTCTCCCCTGTAAATAGAACATATCCAAAAAATTCAACCTGTCAAAAACACAGTTATTTACAACCCAATAGCCAGCATGCATTACACAATACGTAGTGTTTACAAACCATGGCCTCCGGCCTCAAAAATCAAATCCTAGCAGGGCAATAACAGAGCATGTCTAACAGAATTCAACAAACCAACAAAAAGGAAGTTTTACGAATTTACAAGTACAGGGGCTCTACGAAAGCTCGGAGCACTGAAGTTCACGGTTCAGAAGCACACGACACAGCTCTGCTGCTCGTTCCAGTCAACTACTGGCTGTGGGGCGCAAAACAGAAAATTGTGAGTGGACAAAACAAACTTTAGTTTCAATTAAACCAAAGTAATATAACCCCACAGTTAGAAAACCATGCATGAAACCAATGCATTAAAAACCATAATATTCATATATATATATATATAGTTTGCTCAAACCAGAGCTAAATCCGAAATCCAGTGAAACTTACAAATCAACCCATCCAAACCTTTCCTTATAAATCTCAAACAAACTCTCGAAAGTAAGGATTCTAGCTTGAAAAAAAATCAATGTAAGGAGCTTAAAGTTTTAAAACCTCAAACCAAGTCCTCGAAGAAGATGAAGTTTGTTTCATCTGCTGAGACAAAACCAGGCAGCACGACAACATTTTCTGAAGAGCCAAAGTCAAGTCGGGGTATAAACACAATGCCATGTGTTGTGAAGAGAAAATATCAAAAAATCAAGCTAGTTATTGAGTACAATAAAAGGGAGAAACCATATGGCGCTGCACATACTGAGATGCAGTCCTACATTGGTGTGTTGGCACGCTCTAGAGTCCCAATTGTGGACAAGAAATGTACTGAAATCCCCAAGAATATAAAACAGCAGATTTGGGAAGCCGTTGACATGGCTTATGTGGTAGGTCAAGGGGGCAAGAAAATGGTGTCATCATCTGCTGGCAAGAAATGGAAGGATTTCAAGTCTACACTAACGAGGTATCATATCCTTCCGTTCATCAATGAGAAGGAGAAGTTAAGACAACCCCCTGAACTATATAAATTCATAGAGAAAGCAAACTGGGATGCCTTTGTAGCTTCAAGGTTATCCGAACAATTTGTGTCTGTGCATACTGAACAAGCACAGAGGAGGGAGAAATGCGAGTACAATCATCGATTGTGTCGAAAAGGATATGCTGGTTTGGAGGATGATTTGGAGGAAACCATGCCCGGGGTAGAAATTGATTGATCTACCTTATAGAAGAAAGCTAGAGAAGCCAAACGCGGTAACATCCCCGATCCAAAGGTTGCAGAGAAAGCAAAATTAATTGTAAGTCTAAATTCACTCACTCTGTTTTAAATTTTTATTAAACTGTATTGGAATTTTAATTAGACTTGCATGTGGAACTAACTTTCTGTTTTTGTTGACTTTTTAATGTGTCTTTCTGTTAGAATGAATTGCAAAAACAAGTCTCTGAAGACACTCTTACTGTCTCCGGAAGTAATGATGTGTTGACTATGGCTTTGGGTCCCGAGCATCCAGGGAGAGTTAGAGGGGCAGGGGCTGAGATTTCCACTAGGCAATACTTCAATTTACCTAGACAACAGAGGGTAAAGTTTGCCGATCAAATTAAAGGAAAGTATAACACTTATCCTTAAAGAAGAGACTTTGAAGATGGAGGCTAGATCAAGAGAAGAAACTTTGAAGATGGAGGCTAGAACCAAGCAATTGGTAGAAGTTGAGAGGAAAAATTTGCTGAATCAGCTGCGCCAACTCTTGCCCAATTTTGATCCAAGCATGCTCAAACTAACAACTAACCCCTATCAAACTCAAGGTCAAGAACAAAGTCCCAAAAATCCAATGTCGGACAAAGCAAGCTGCTTTGGGTTGCTTGATGTGAGAGCCCTAAATTTTAAGAATGATAATGCCAAGGATGGAGAAAAGCAAGAAGAAATGGTAACATCTCTGAACTTTGCATATTCTGTTTTTTGAAATCCATTAGACGTCGTTATTGTTAATTACAGTCGTTATAAGCAATCCACAACGACGGTTTATATTTACCGAAGTTTGAAAAGACATACCACGTCTTTTTTATTAATAAACCGTCGTTGGGATTGCAATTCCACGACGGTGGAAATGATTGAGTTACCATCGTAGTTAGTTTACTTGTTTTACAAGCTATCTTCACACACACTCTCTCTCTCTCTCTCTCTCTCTCTCTCTCTCTCTGCAATTGTTGTTATCTGTATGTAAACCTATTAATATTGTATAAAGACCTGTTAACATGATATGAAATCGCATGGAAAAAAAAGAAGTTTTCGCGTTAACTTTAGAGATATGTGCACATGTCCTATTTGATCTTTTAAATTTTGATTATTCACTACCTGGATTTTTAGGCATGTGCATTTTAGTCCATTTATATATTATGGCTCACAAAATGATTTCCCTCCCTACCCACCTAATCAGACATTCTAATGCAAAAATGGGAGCCTAACAATAACTCAATTCCCTTGCAAAT